TTATTTATATAAAAAAAATCTCAAATTTCAAAGTGGGCGATTATGTACTCCGGACATAAGCTGGTTCTGTCAATATTATTCAGGAAAAACAAATAACAATATGCTTATTGCTCCATACTTCATTATTGAGTTTAATATGATTTAAATAGAAACTACAATATCATTGAACATTAAGGTCATCACCTTATTTTTATTGATAACTTGTGGGAAAAAAAAAATGCCAAAAAATTTTGAATATTAAAGTGTTGAAAGTTTCAAATATAGTAGGAGTTAAATACAAATTAATGAACTAAAATGTAAGTAGCCGTGGCAAGGGGGAGGGGGCACAGGCGACAAAAATCCTAAGGAGGCAACGGTGGTGGTGTTGACGGTTAGCTATGTCAACGATGATGGCCAAGAACCACAACAGTGGTAGTGGGCGATAATAGTTGAGAATCACGAGCACAATAGGAAAAAATTTAGATGTCATCAAATTTGTACAATTTCTAAATGTTAAGAAAAAAGATATAAGAAGATTTTCAAATCCCATAAAATTTTAGTTTGCAATTTGTTTTTTATTACTTGTAATAAAAAACCAGCATGTTGGCATACAAGCAAGAGGTATGCAATGCATCTCTAATCTTTCCAATCAAGCAACCTCGGAATGTAACTATCCTATAATTGAAAGAAAATTAGTATTATGCTTAAGCGTGAGTTCAAGATCCCGAACAATGGTGCATAATAGTGGATAATCTCTAGTTTGATAGTATGGGAGTTTATGACATTGATGATGATGATTTTTAAGATGCATATATATCAATACAACATTGACATCTTATTAACACAAGTTTAAGTCTTCATCATTTGTAATAATAGGAAGGACCGCCACATCATTAGGTGTCCCTTCAATTACAAGTAACAATGCCAAACAAATCATTCTTGGTGCACCAAATAAATTTTCTTTACATCTATTTATAGAATTAAAATGGCCTTCTTAAGTTTGCCATATCTAAATTTGTAAGTCGTGTTTGATCCATATTTATCCATGGACACATCACCGAAGTTTAAACACATAAGGAGAAAGAGAAAGAGAGAGAAAAACTAGAGAGCTCTAGAATTCTATATTTGTAGTAATGGAGACATTTCTGTATAAACCTAAAGTTGTCTTTAACTTCGGTACAATATTTGACAATCTTTCAATAAAAAGTACATCAAATTACATTAAAATACATAAAAGTAAAGGGGATCATGTTGTATCCCATGACAATGTCATTTTGTCACTTGTGGCCAATAAAGTGTTAAGGTTCTCTAAGCAAATTGCGAATATGAAGTAGTCAGCTTTGATACGCCACCAATAAATTTTCATCATTCACCACGGATCTCAAGTCATGACACGAATCTCGAGGCATTATTTTGAGGGAGAAATGCTTAAATTTTGATAAAAAATCATCCAGAGCTCCAATTTCAGCAAACTTATTGTCATACTGACTGACTTGATGAGACAAACATAATGATATCAAAGTTAGTGCAATCTGAGTCAAATCAAGCCCAAATCAAGTGATTAAACCATTATTGAAAGATTTCCGAACGCATTTGAAAAGTTAAATGAATGTCGAATTCAGCGAGTTTATAGTCGAATCGAACGCCTCGACAAGAAGAATCCAATGAGCCCAAAATCACTCAATTCCAACATCATTACAATATCCAAATATCCTTTAAACACCGTCTGATTGAAGAAAGCTATCCAGACTGTTTGATCAAAATAATTACTATTCCTGCATTAATTACACCCAGAACACTATAAATAGAGTCTCACCTCTCTTATGAGGGGGACTTAAGCCTTGAAAGAGAAATTACAGCTTTGAGAAGGAGTTAAAGTCTAGCACCACCGCCGACCGTCGTCGACCACCATAGTTCGTCGTCGACCAATGCCGACCGACGTTGACCACCGCTAACCTCGGTCGACCACCGCCGACCGCCTTCGATCCCTGCCGACCTTTGTCGACTACCATCTATAGTCGATGACCTTCGTCTACTACTGCATATGTAATTAATAGGTATGAAAAATATAATTACCCTTTCTCATTTGTGGGACAAGGGATTTCTGTAATCACCAATCAATAGTGGATTTTCGCAACTATACTAGGCACCGTGATTTTCTCTTTCCGGTTTTTGCACGTTAAAACTTATAGAGTTGTCACTGCTTGTTTCTCTTTCATCTGTGTGCGTGCTGAATTCTCGTACAATGCTAAGTCGATAATTCTTTACTCTACCGCCGCGGATTTTTTAGTATGCATCAAGCTTGATAGCTTGTTGTGACATAATTAGTTATTAAGCAAACTTAATGGTCTTATGACCTGAAAAACAAGTTAGAATTATGAGGCTTGAACTATATATGGTTCGATAAACTGCTTATTTGAGTAGATCTAACCCAAACTTATTCACAGATTTTGTTTAATATGTTGTTGGGCCAATCTCATGTCGTGGATTATTTGGGTGTGTCGTGCTTAATTATCGAAAGTAAATGAAAGGGTTACATGTATGCACCACATGATATAGAGAAAAATTCGCAATAAATTGAACTTATTTTTATTCATTCGTCGAACAAATACAAAAAAATTTTCTTATATCATCTTGGTAGTCATGAAAATATTTAAGTTATGATGATCACCAAACAATAATGCATTACTAGTATGCTTGTCAGGTTAAATGGATTACTGTCGTTAATAAAAATGATGATGATAATGAGTGGGCATATATTTGGCTTGTAGACCTTTGCATTATGCAAGGAGAATAAACCATTCTTACTAGTAAGCAATATAGAATAGGAAAAAAATTATAATCATGTAAATTTGCTTCATTATTAGGATGAACAAGTATAAAAAGCTTTATTTTTCGGGGGTGCTCATAATTGCTTGAGTGCTATGATCTCTAACAAGGTAGAGAATCATATGAGTACCCTCACACCTTACGTCCCACCTTCAATAGAAACAAAAAAAAACTGTGATATGAAGAAGAATTAATTCATGGAATTGCCACTTTTTATGACAAAAAAATTAACATAATGATCGAGGCTTATCACTTTTGCAGCATTTTTAGTGATCAGAATGTCTGGATAATCATTTTTATCATTACCTTATCTAAATCTTATGTTTACTTTGTTGTAAAATGGAATGTTGCAATGATGCAAGCGTTTGCTTGATAATTATAGAGCAAAGTGAACATTATAAAGCCACAATAATAATACTGGTTTTACTTTGTTGTAAAATGTAAATATCATTTATTCATGTGCATATCACATAAATAATGGTGGAGAAATTTGGGTCAAATGAAGATGAGGATAGAAAATTCAGTTAGGTAGAAATATGCTTTTATGAGTAATGCTTTTCTATTATTTAGAATTCAAGTAGCTTTCCAGTTGTTATATCTACCGGTTGAGATAGAATTGCAATTTTGTTATTCTACTCAACAATCATAAGTTATTAGCAAATAATGGTCTGCTAAATTTGGATAGAGTGCAACAATTAAATTCTTATAATTAGCGCAAAAGCATGCATTGTACATTTAAAAATGCCAAAACTTTTTATGTATTTTGTTTATGGTTTCAACAACATTTATTGCTCTGATATTTATAAGAGGGTTAGTATTAGTGCGAAATGATGATTATACTGTTGGCCTTCTTTAATCAGTTGATCTCCAATCAATCAGTTTCATGACATGCAATTGATGAATATCTGAAGGTTCATCTTCTTGATGGTCGACCCCTATCTGAACAGTCTCCAAGTCAGCCAACCTTTGGCTCGGTCAGCCTTTGGGTCGGTTGTCTTTTGGTCGACCGCTCGATCGATCTCCAATCTCTAGTTCTGTTGGCCCTTGGGTATCTTAATTTATTCTCATGAGGCTTCATCTGATAACAAGTGCTCTACTCTGAGTCATTCGATCTGTGAAATATTCCGGTTAAAAAGTTTTTTGATTGTATGTATAATAATTTATTTATCATTTTGTTGATATTACATCAGGACTCCTAACGTAATATTATGTTCGGAGTCCAATAAAATAACACCACGTGGAGGTGACAGAAAAAAAATCGTTTTAGCGTAGGGGTATATTCCCTCCGTGTTATTCTACATTATTCATGTGTTATTGTGGTGATATTCATGTGTTATTTTGTTCTAAGAATATTCTTGGTGTTATAATAACACAATAACATATCAATATCACCACAATAACACCTGAATAATGCGGAATAACACAGGAGTAATATTCTCCTATGTTGCCTGGCCAGATCAAAGGAAAGCGCGTGTGTTTCTTCAAAGCCACATATCCACATATCAGTGGACTCCGAACATAACTTCACGTTAGGATTCTTGATGTAATATTTTTCCCACAATTAATACTATAACCATGAAGGTGATGATTGGCTTGCCTCTTGATTCCCAGCGCGTTTTCATTTTGCTTTCGTGTGCTCGGTTATTTCTTCTACAAACGCCAGTTGGGATTTCTTAATTTTAATTTTATTATTTTAATATTCTTATATACATAATAATTTTTTAGTGATTAAAAATACTTATAAAAACTAAATGAAAGTATTCCGACATAAATTGTATGGGGTAATGCTTGAGAAATTACAAAAAAGATCATAATTTTCTAATAGTCATTATAGAATGCAAGTACCCCTCGTAATTTTTTTCTGAAAAACAGCAAAATATAATGCTGTCAGATGCCATAAAATATGATACATACATTAAGTTAAGAAACCCCCTTTTATATAATGGTATTAAAAAAAAGGGTTCTGCAAATAAAGTGCTATAATGATGCTGACATCAAGTTGGAATAAGTAAATAAGTCATGCTTACACCCAAACCAAGATAATCAATCTTATCTCTAGCTCCCATTTAATTTTCTAGCATTTTTCATGTTCCCAAAGCACCCTCTTGTGGAGTTTTCAGAAAACGGCACTCTTGAATTTAAACTCTTTCGTCCAACAAACCGTACTTTCAGAGGCGCATAGCTCACGCAAAACAACAGCTACCCATTTGGTTCCCCGCTCCGTTAAAAGTTCCTTCCCATCTTACCCTTTAATTCAAAAATTAAAAATCGCTCCTTTATTCTATTTTCTCTTCCTTTCCCCAATCTCTTCTCTTCAGCTTCCTCTTCTTCTCCTTTCAATTCTTACCAACAAACACATTTGCTTCTTTAAGCCTCCAACCTCCAGCCATGAAAGGAAAACATTACGGATAAAACTAGTAGAGTAATGATTCCCACGTCCCCCTTCTCAGAAAAAAATCAAAATCCTTGCTTTAATCCAACTCCAGCCCTGAAAGACGAGCACTGACTCGAGGATTAGTGATTTGGACCACATCCACGCGGGTTGTTACCAAAAGATCATTACCCTTCTACTTTACATTGACAGCCATGACGGCAGTATTGAGATCCCCATCACAAATTCCTTCGGCTCCAAGTTCCCCGCTTTCTTGCTCCTCCAATCATGGCTCTCAGACCCTTTTAACCAACCCTTCTGAAACTTGTGGTGAGGTTGGGGAGGAGGCGGAAAGTAAAAGGGAAGACGGAGGAAGAAGAAGGGAAGAAGAAGTTGGGGAGGGTGAGAGAGAGGTGGAGCAGCTGTCGGTTTTGGCGTTTATACTGACGGTTCTTAGGAAAGTAAGGTGCAGGACGGAGGGGGAGGAGGACGCAGGGGGGATGGAGATCGGTTGGCCGACTAACGTGCGGCATGTGGCTCATGTCACCTTCGATCGTTTTCATGGTTTTCTTGGTCTTCCTGTGGAGTTCGAACCTGAGGTCCCTCGTCGAGCCCCGAGTGCTAGGTTTTTCTTCTTTTTTCCTCATATTGTGCTACACTTTTTGTTGTTTGAGAGGATTTGATGCTATCTTCTTGACTGGAGTTTGGGTTTCAGTTGTTTGAATTGTCATATTTTGGGTCAAACTCGAAAAAGATTTTATTTTTCTTATGCCATGATGGTTTGGAGTTTTTCTCAAATGGATTTAAAGTTTTGGCCTACTTTTGCAATGTTGGGAATGGTTGTGAAGACATGATTTAATGATGCAATGCTCTTTTTTCTTAATTTCTTTAGATGTTATTGTTGATTTTAATAATGACTTTCTGAAATCATTTTGTTGCCCGTTGATGGTTGTTATTCTCTATCAAAATGTATGCCATGTTTTGAATTTTTTTTTTTTTTACCATTATGTCTCATTACCATTATGTCTCATATTCTTCTGTCTCATATTCTTCTCCTCTGAATACTTAAGCATGACTTTTTAATACTGTATCGAATTCTGTAGGATTTATTCACATTCTTGGCATCTTAGATGGATGCTATGTGCTGGCTACTCGTTTCCAATATAAACTTCTAGATTTTATAGAAGCCCTAATAGATTGCTTCCCTGAAGCTCACGAGTGACAAGCTATGTTAGAATTTGTGACCCAAATTCTGCTGTCTGGGTTGAAAGATTGCAGTAAACCATATGCAGCGCAAAAAAAAATTATCTAAAATTTTTTGGGTGTTCTGTTGGAACTAATGATGAATTATCATCAGAAAGTAATTCATTTTGCTCTAATTTATTTGGTATGTCTTCTTTTAATCTTTGATATTTGATGAGAGATCGTTATGCGATTCATTCAAAAAATTTAAGCTAAATATACTCATAAATGTGCAATCATTATTTATACTCTCTTGCATCTTATGAACCTCTTTAAATGCAATCCACTATTCACTTTGGTGCACAAGATCTGTGAATATTATAATTTAATTGCAAATTTAGAGATTTAGAGACTTTTTGTCACTATGCTTTACAGTTTGTGGTTATTTTTAAAGCTATTTTTCCTTAATGTTTGGTTGATGGGGATTGCAAGTTTACATGGGAAAACCTGACGTAGGCATGGAGAAAACTTGAAATATTTACTTGAATGTTTGTCCGCCAATAGTTCTTCATGGTACCTCTTTGGGATTTCTGCTACTTCTGTTTTTATGATAATATTAGGACAATCACAAGGTTATGAAGGGAAATTTGAAGTTATCTCCTATTTGTAACGTAGTGCGAAGGTGTTCGGTGTTTCAACTGAGTCCATGCAGTGCTCCTATGACTGTAGAGGAAATAGTGTGCCAACAATACTCTTGTTAATGCAGAGAAGCCTATATGAACAAGGAGGCTTAAGGGTATGCTTCATTCTGTTAACCTTAATTTATGATATTTTCATTTTTGGTATTATTTATCGCCATACTATTGATCAGGCAGAAGGAATATTCAGAATTAATGCAGAGAATAGCCAGGAGGAGCATGTGAGAGATCAGTTGAATAGCGGAGTGGTGCCGTCAGGGATAGATGTGCATTGTTTAGCTGGTCTGATCAAGGTATAATGCAATTTCTTTCTATCATGTTCTCTTGGTCGAGTCTGTGAATTTGGTTAGATATATCCATCTTTTTCAATATGTTGTATGTTTTATAGCTATGTTGAACTTCGAGCAGTAGAAATCAGAAAAGTATAGAATCTTGGTTGTGGATTATAATTATTGGCCTTATATTATGGGTAGAACTCTTTGGCACAAAGAGGCCAAAGGATTTAAAGTTGATTCTCTTATCGAACTATTTCAAAAGCTTAGAATGTTGGAGAAGACAGAACAAAGGTGTTGTAGCCAATGTTTTAGGTTCCCCTGATCTGAAAGTGTGATATAGTTTCCATGATTTGATCATCCGCTATTAGAGTTTGTGACCCAAATTCTGTTGGCATTGGATAAAAAAGATTAGCGGTGCGACTTATTGAGTGCCACATGAACTAAGCTCATTCATCAAGCATGATTTGTAAATGCAACAAAGTGTGCTTTGCTAGTTAATGTTTATCTAAGTCATGGATGTGGAAGTTCAAATATGGGTCATATGCTCTAGAATTAACTATTGTTGGACACTTAACCAGTTATTCTAAAATCTCAATGTGCAACAATGACTTCTTAGCCAAAGGCTCAGCTCTCGATCCATGGATGCACTATATTGCTTATTTAAACCATGACTCATTGATCAACTATTGTTGAACAATAGAAGCTAGGACTCATCCATTCCTCTTAGGAAAGAGTTTAATCATTGTCATCTAAATTTCATCACCAATGGGGCTGTAAAAAAGAGCTTGTCGTACGTATCTCATTCGGCTCACTAATTAATGCACATTTGATATGTTCGTTAAACAACTGAGCTAAATAATATTTATTAAAATATTTTATATTATTTTTTATGTTTTATTTAAATAACATTAAAATTCATTATTTAAGAATCTTTCGTGCTAAATTTGAGCTGAACATGAGTTTCAAAGGAAAAGATTAATTTGAATCAAGCCAAAAACAAACATTGCTATTCATGCTCAATTTTGAATTAAGAAAATTTGAATGAGCCGAACATGAACTAGCACTCTGCCATTCACGTGCAATTTTGAATAAAGAAAATTTGAACAAGCCGAACATGAACAAGCACTCTGCTAGCTCAAACATTGTTTGTTCACTCCCCAACTCACCATATAAGTTGATACAAGCTGTTTGGCAGATTGCCCATTGTCCTAATTATTTCCAAACAATACCCACCTCTCTCTATTATTTTGTCAAACGCTAATAGGCATCAGAAACCATTCTTGCTTTAAAACTCTGACTATTACAGTGTCCCTCTGAAGTTCTGTTTTTTTTTTTTACTTACTGCTGTTATGATTTCTATCCTTCCTGCTCAAAATAGGCCTGGTTTAGAGAACTTCCATCTGGCGTGCTCGATCCCCTATCACCTGAGAGGGTAATGCAATGTCAAACAGAAGAAGATTGCGGACAACTTGCAGAAAGCCTTCCACCTACCGAGGCTTCACTCCTCAACTGGGCCATAAATTTAATGGCTGATGTCGTTCAGGAAGAACATGAAAACAAAATGAATGCCCGTAATGTCGCATTGGTCTTCGCTCCAAATATGACCCAGGTAATGAAGCATCATCATCATCATCATCATCAGATAGTACCGTTTTAGCATTAAATAATTCTATTTAAAAAATCTTAAAATATTTCATTTTTATGGTGAATTCAGATGGCAGATCCATTGACCGCATTGATGTATGCAGTGCAAGTGATGAATTTTCTAAAGATGTTGATACTCAAGACAATCAAAGAAAGACAAGCTTCTCCAGTGGAGGACTCTAAAACTCCCCCTCCTGATCCTTACGAGGAAAATGGCCATCAAAGTCCTGAACTCCAATTGGAAATTCAACGTGAAGAGATAACAGATCAAGCTTTTGTTTCAGAGGATCCCATCCTTGATGATCAAACTCACCTTCCAGAAGAAAACCCTTCAGAAGATGGCAAGAAGGATGCTGCATTACAGGAGTTGGCAGATCCAGGGATCACTGAATCTTCCACCGCAGAACTAGAAACTGTTACTGAGGTCTTCACTAAAGTTCATGTGAACTCTCGTAGAACGAGAACTGGTCAAGCAAGCAATTCGAAGCAGAAGAAAACTCGAAAGTTTAGCAGACAATCAACCGCTAAATTGAAATCGAGCACACAGGCGGAGAAGTCAAAATCAGCAAGCATTGTTAGCCGTATAAACTCCAAATCAGAACGTGCAGAAGCGTGGAGGTAAAAATCTGATTTCTGTTAGTAAACCATTTGAATTGTGACTGACTTAACGGTCATCTCCCAAGAGGAGGGGGTCTGTGACATACTTATGCTTTTGTTTGTATGCTGCTTGGGTTGGCTGTTTTCTTTTCATGTTTGAATATTTTCCAAACTAACTCTTCCCGGATTTCTGAAAATTATGTTTTCTTCGATGTTTGCTTCTTGATTTCCTCTTATTTCCTTAGTGGATAGAATTGAAGATGTACAGAATCTTAATACTGATTGATGTTTATCTTTGTTGGATCATGTTGATAAGAATTGAGTTTATAGAATGAATCTTTTGTTATTTTTTGTTAGGGATGTATAGCCTAAAATCTTATGCTTATTTTAATTTATTTATTGGTAATTTTAAATAAAGATTTGATTACTGCTAATTTGAATGTAGTTATTTTTCTATTGTTTTGCATGTGGTTATTGAAATAATGAATCTCATTATTTAAGTTTGAATGTTGGCTTGTCAGGGTTGTGTATCTTACAATATGGCACATGATGCTATGTTGTGGATTCATGTGAGCTTTAAAGTGTGTGATCATGTCCCTTTAAGAGATATACTTTATGTTAAAAATGATGACATTAAAGTCTAGCATTCTTTAAGCAACAATCATTGGCTTTAAACTTTGATAAATGTTTTTTAAGGATTGAGTTTTCTTTCTACATGAATTTTCATAATAATATAGAACTAAGGTCTCTCAAAGATTGTCTGTGGATGCTAAATATTCTCTTGAGAATACTAAAAGACTGGGATTGTTTATATTTTAATTTAAAATAAAACATGTGGATTAATATATGTTGAGGAATTAGGGCGAAAAAAAACAGTAATCGACAAAAATCCAGAAGAACACAGAGATTTAACGAGCTTCGACAAAAATGCCTACATCATCGGGAGCAGAGCGACGTATTTCTTTCAATATTAAAAAAAAGTTACAGAATAGAGGGATACATCCTGAGGTTACTAACATGTCTATTTATAACCTCATAAGTAAACCCTAGACACAATATGTAATTACAACATTACACCTGTACCGTACCACGGGGCTTTGCCCCCACACCCCCAACCCATGTAACTTCCCAATTTGGACAGATTCTTCCGCTCCGCTCCGCTTCGATTCAGCGTCTGTCTCTATATGGTATATGAGTCATACCATAATAAATCTTCACTTTGGCGAATATCCAGCCCATTAGAAGAAAAAGATACCTAGGAGTTACACCTGCACCAATGTGGGTTGGGTCACCATGCTTCTCTAGCAACTGAAAACATTCAAAAAGTCCAAGCAATGCAAGAACTTGTTGATAGTAACTGGCTTGGTCAACATATCAGCTGCATTCTCATCAGTATGAACCTTCTGCAACAGTACCTCCCCAGAAACAATCAACTCTCTGATCTTGTGATACCTGACATTAATGTGTTTGGTTCTCGCATGGTACACCTGGTTCTTAGCCAGATAAATAGCACTCTGACTGTCACAATGTAACTGAACTCCACCTTGCTCAACGCTCAGTTCCTTTACTAGCCCATCAAGCCATAAGACTTCTTTAGCAGCTTCAGCTAATACCATGTACACAGCTTCAGTTGTAGATAATGCCACAATAGACTGAATTGTGCCATCCAAATCACCTGCATAGTCTGAATCAACATATCCCACAACTGAATGATCATTCTGCTGACTGCCAAAAATAATTCCATGTCCTACAGTACCCTTCAGATACCTGAAAATCCACTTGACTGCTTCTCAATGTTGCCTTCCGGGTTTAGCCATGTATTTGCAGACTTGACTAACAGCATGAGCCAAATCAGGACGAGTACATACCATTGCATATATTAAGCAGCCAACTGCACTAACATATGGAACATTTGTCGTGTCTTCAATTTATGTATCAGTCTTAGGACACTGTTCTGAAGAAAGCTTAAAAT